AAATCTACGGTAATAAAGCTCAACGAATTTTTCGTTCTCGTGACTGAAGTCTCCAGAGATGGTCGTACGTGGCATTTCATTAAAGGCGTTCATAATTACGTTGTCGTGTGGGCCCCTGAGATTTCATTTTCAAGTCTCTTCGAGTTTTGGACGTTTGAGGGGTTGGCCCCACAGGCGCGTGGGACCCACCGTCTTTCTGCAACGTAAACCTGTGTACATATCTGTATGGCTGCCTTTGAATTGTTTTCATACAACTCTTATTTGAGTGAGATTTGACAAAAAAAAATTATTTAGTTTTTATATATATATATATATTTTTTTTATAATTTATTATGAATACAACGATTTTCGTCATAGATTATTATAGGGGGCAATTTTAACATGGTAATAATTTCATAGATTCTGCAAATTCAGTTATGTAACTCTCGGATATGGTCCAATTTGACACCAAGTCTAGTCTAGTCTAGTAAAATATGCATTAAAAATTCAAGATTGGTCATGTAACTTTTGGATATGGTCCAATTTGACACCAAATAGTCTAATAAAATTTGCCTTAAAAATTCAAGATTGATCAATACATTTTGTCAATGCGAGGAAGACCGATTATACTTTATAAACATGAATCAAGAAGAAGAATGGTATATACTATTAGAAAATATAAAAATAATACTATGTGTTTCCTTTGTACTAACCCTAAATATAATCAATAAAAATCAATTGAAACAACGAAGAAATAGAAGGAGAACAAATGAATATTTTTCTTGAGTGAAATAAGACGAAAATAGGTCGTTGTAGTGTGAAGACCAACTCTAACAGTCTCTAGAAGTTGCTCTTTAAATATTTATCTCTCTAAACTTCACATCCCTATATTGTAAAGTTCTATATATCACTTATGCTATAACAGTATTATCTTTTTATTATCTATCTATTGTTAGTGACTTTCTGTATTATTTTTATTCCAATAAATCTTCTACTTTTTATTAACTCACCAATTCCTTCTTCACAAGGTTCGGCAGCCAGCGTTTTAAGGGGAAAAAAAAATATGAATATTGAACATATATAGTCGGTTTCTTAATTAATACATACAGTTCGGAATATGAATCGGGAACCGGAACTAATTTGTGCAAAATCGAATAATTTTTTTTTCTTAAATAACCGGAGCCAACCGATTTTTTTCGCTTCGGTCTAACTCGGTTAACGGTTCTCGAGTCTAAAATCCCAACCGTAATTTTGAGACTGTAAAATAGGGGAAATTGCATTTGAGGAGTTTCTTGGCTAGAGCCTAAAATGTAACTTTGAAAAAAAAAAACTTTTGATTTGTAAACAATAACTAATGTCTGATGAGTAAGTTGTAAAGCAAATTCTTATCACAATTTTTATGTGAACCAATTTAAATCTTAGACCGGTCGATCATCATATCTTGTAAAGAAAATGAAGACTTAGGGCATGCTTGTTTATCAATTATTTCACTCACTTTTAATTCATACTCAAAATTTAACTCAACTTTAACTCAACCTCACTATCTTTAATATTATTCATATAATTAATAAATACAATCCAATCATTCTTACACATCACATCAACTTTAATTCACTATTCATCCACTCACATAATTTTAATTACCTATCATTCTCAATCATTTTCAATCATTTATCTCATACTTTTACATCAAATCAATTTTAATAATTTTATTTTAAATATTATTTTAATACATTTTTAAAATCTCACTAACTGTAACCATACCATTTTTTTCAAAAGTAACTCTAGTTAACCAAAATAACTCATTTTGGACGAATTATTTTGTAAACAAGCGAGCCCTTATACTATCAAATGTCATACTAATGTTAATATCATTTTGTAATATATACATTACATAAAAATATGTGCATTTTTTTAAAAAAAACAAAATTATGATGGACAAATAATTAGGCCAGTGTATCAAAAAACATGTGACAATTAATTTAGTAGAATTATTTGAAAAAAAATAATAACCAAATAGGGGTGAGATCGAAAATTGGGTATTTTTATCTAAAACATTGAGTACAAAATTGGCTGTGGCTAGCCTCACACTTAAAGCAACACAATTTGGTCTAAAATTAAGATCGAAAATTAAGCCGAGTCCGTATCAACAATTAGTGAAATCACA